CAACTCCCAATTGAACCTCTTCTTCTTCTTCTTCTTCTTCTTCAAACTCACACACCCATCTTCTGTTTTCGGGACGTTGTCTTTGCCATTCTCTAATTCAATACCGTGTGCGAAGATTTTTATCCTTGTTTGGAATTGGGATTTCTCGTTGATGATTTCCTCCTGAATTTCTTTTGTTTTTTTCGCCAGAACGGGGTTAGAAGACATGCAACGGGATTCTTTTTGGTAAATGTGCTGTAGCTTAGATCTTGGCTCTTTAATTTGGTTCGGTTAAGCATTTCTGGAAAGTCCCTTTTCCATACTTGATGCTTTCATCTCATTCAGTATCGATTGATCCCTTTTGGGTGATGGTTTTTGGGCTTTTGGTTGAATTTCGCGTCCAATTTGTTTATCAGATAGGATTTTTTTTTCCTTACTTCCCCTGCTTTAGTTGCATGTGTTTATTGGGCATTTTCCACTTTACTATTCTTTTTTCTTTTATAATTTTTTTTTTGACTTTTACACTTTGTAATTTTTGATTGCATGTTCGTCTGCCAAATTTCCCTTTAATGTTTGTTCTTCAGGTTGTTCTTCTGTTTTCCTGAAATCTTCAGTATTTATATTTTATTTTAGTTTGAAATGGCTGTTTTTACTTTATTGGTATTGCTAAGAATGTAAATTTTTGCGGTCTAATTCCTGTTACTTGTATTTGTTTGGTTTTTATTAAAAGTTGTCTTCCCCTGTTTACTTGAAGGATTGCTTTGAAATTGAGTTTTCTGACTGACATCTGAAATTTGTGAAAATATAATGTTAGAGCTACCCCAACCCTTTAGTGAAAAAGCTCATTTGTGCTTCTGAAATGCCCTTACATGAACACATTTGGAATTTCATCATCAGTTGCTACTCAGCTTTTCTACGGTTGAACTATTAGTACAACTGATATGATGTGAATTTTACTTCATGTTATGCAGATACTCAGTTGATTGAAAAGGATTTTGCTTAAAGCCGAGAATGAAATACAACATTATCAAAATTTCCATAGCTTTGTTCTTGAAATGAAAATGTGATTTGTATTCAATTGTATTCTCTTTCATTCCTTTCTAAATGTTGGTTTGTTGAAACTTGCACCTTGCCTTATATTGCTTGTGATTCTGAAATTTCGCCTAGTGCACCAGATTAGTAGTCTGTTTGATATTTCTAACCTCTGAAAAGCAACATTCAGCATATATATTAGGCAGGTTACATATATAAAAGCATATCAGAAGAATATAATTTACTTTTGGTTTTCCCCTGTAACAAAGTATGTGTGAGTTGAGCTTTTGCATCTCTGCTGTTTATTTTCCTGAAAGTCTTCAAGTAGCGTTTCAAAATTCAGTGTCACTACAGTTACCTTTGCTCTTAAATCAGGAGAAGTCATTACTTCGCCTTCAATACTCACATTATTTTTTGGTCGTCCCTGCAGTTTCCTGAAAAATAAATCCTGAAAATTCAATAAATGTCAACGGTCAGCTGCTGTTACCTTCTTACTTTGAGTTCTCAGTCATGCTAAATTGTGTATTTCAATAAACTTTGTACAATTGATCATATCAGTACCGTGTTTGGACCTTTGCTCATAGCAAACTGAAATCTTGTTTTCTAATTTCATTTTATGGAAGGAATAAGGGTTGTTTAATCCATCCTGAGAGATGCTAAAAGGAGAAACTCCGTCACTAAAGCAATCTAGAAGCTTTTACCTATGATTTCATTTCCTTCTTTATGATTTTTCTTGATGTTAGTAGACTCCTGCATAGTTCTTACTCTGATTAACTAGTGTGGCTTTGTTAGTTTTCTTGAAGCTGCAAAAGTAATTCTCTTAAGTTGCTGCAGGTATTATTTCCCTGCTGTATGATGGTAAATAGTAAATACTGTTGGACATGTACCATGTCGACCAACTGACATTTGAAAGGTGGAAAGTCTAGTGTCCAAGTTTTGCAATATTGATTGTGGATGTCAGACCTTTATCAATGTCATACAACAACTGATCTTCTACAACAATATCGGAAGGAATTGCGCAAACTACTACTGCTGCATAAACAGTGCTTAATATCTATTATATCAAGTGTAGATCCACCTTTTCCAATGAGGTGATTATATTTTATCCTTGAACCTCTTTTGTTTCCATACTTATGTTTTAATACACACAAGGGACCCCATATTTTTCAAATGTAACTATTTTTAACTTTTACCTGTTACGGAGTACCTAAAATTCCGAATATTTTAGGTATAGCTAACTACCAATTCATCTCAATTTTTATTGCTGATGTTTTCATGTTCACTGCTGGTATAAAATCGCCGGAAATTTGTATATCAATTTTATTTTTGCTCATTACTGCTATTAATTTTTTGACATTACAAGAGAAGGGGAAATTATCAAGTTGCTCCCTCTTTTGCTATGTGTTTGGTGGTGGATTTTTTTTTGGTAACGCCGGGAGCCCCACCAGATATGGGTAATCCCACGCCCACTGCAATAGCCTGCAAACCACAGTGGGAGGTACACCACCCTAGGCAAGCCCGGGGTGACAAGCTCGGGTGCAAAATTGGGGATTCATTAGTCGGTTAGCCATAATAAGCCCCTAGAGGTGCCATTAGGCAAGGTGAGAGCCAACCCCTCACTTTTTGTTGGAGTGGGGGATTGAACTCATGACCTCCTCTCGGAGCAAGGGTGGTTTTACTACTGAACCAACTCCTCATTCGCGTTGGTGGTGGATTTGGTTATTATTACATTTACAGTTGCTGTGGAAATTATGCATGTATGTAAGTTACAAATATAGATCTCTATTTCATTTCCTTCAGTTTGACTGAATAAGGAACCTGTTGCTGCATGCTATGTAGGAGAATGAGTAGCATGTGTAACTATTCCTGTTAGTGATGATTAAGTGAGGGCAGATCGACATAGTTTTTGTTTGTCGATGAAACTTTAGAAGTTAATAGTTTTCGATTGGTTTTTGCTGAAAACTTTCAATCTGGTCACTCCGACTGCAAGTTTTTTCAATCCCTTTGTTCTACAATCAGAGATCTTTCATATTGTTCTGGTTGCTAAATAAAATTTTATGCTCTCTTAATTCGATGCATGCTAAATCTTGCACCCCATTTTTATATTTAATTATATCAGAGATTTTCATATATGACAGAAAGTGTGTTAGAGCTACTAACTTTAGGCTTGACCTTTACCTAGAAAAAGCTTTGATAAATGAATTGCAATGTATTATTCAAACCTAGCTCAAAAGTCACAGTAAAACAACATCCTGTAAGATTTTTTTGAAGATGATCAAAAACCCTCTTTGAATCTCTTCTTTTTCAATTTTTTAGTATTTTTTTTTTTCTTTTTTATTTTTACACTTGATGCTTCTATTAAAATGTGAATCCAGTTTCCAACTATGCAGTAAATGCATGTTATCATGATGCGTCTGCGTCAACTACGGCTGTTTTCCATTAAATGCAGTTACAAGTACTAATATAAATGTTGTGTATGTATTCTATGATCGAAAGGCTTCCATTAAACATATTGATGTAAACTTTTGTTAAAAGAAGACACTGTTTTTCTGACGTGTTTCCGAATTACAAGGCTGGATTTTTAGATTGCATTGAAATAACTTCCACCTTGCAGACGTGATTGTGGGTTCTTAACAACGGCATGTTTTGTTAAGTATCTGGCAGAGTCAACTTTTCTGATTTCAAGAGAATAACTCATATTGTCTGGGATGATTTGTAGTTTTCTTCACCTTGGTGTATTTGGGCATCAGTTTCTCTTGTGGGTGTAGTTGTAGTGCATGGGAGGTATGCTATTTCGATGGGGAAGGCAGTTACGATCTTTTTCACTGTGCATGAAAAAGCTATGGCATCGGATGCTTTATGAATTGGAGTTGGGGAACTAACTAAATCATCAGTGTTTGGGGGTTGCAGAAATGAGAATTTTCAAGATGTATGGAGAGTGGAGACACTATTCCAGATTGAACAAGTGATCAATACATTAGGAAGAAAGTGAGGGTTTTACATTAAATGAGTAAATGAGAGTACACGCTTGGTTGGAAAATGAGACTTCTGCCAATATTTACTAATCTTTAGAATGCACCAGTGTGACATATAGATAATAGGGGATTACAATTTCATTTAAATAGGGATGGACGACAAAAATGCAATGTTGGAAGGGAATTAGTGGTAAAGAAGACATGAAGTGTATGAATGTAAGTAAAAAGGTGTTTCAATAGTATAGGATTCATATAGTGGAACCATATTGTGGATGAAGCTTAGTGCCATCTCTTTTTGTTCCTTTGGGTGATAGAGTTGAGGTAGAAATTTATTTCTTATCAGAAAGAGTCAAAAAGTCTTTGTTTTTGTCATACTTCGAATGTATTTATTTAATCAGAGTTATATTTTCATAACCTTTCAAGTTATCTGGACTTTTGATGGACTTTTGATGTAATCAGATGCTTTCTAACATTAATTGTTTGTGCCAGGGGATGCTTCTTCATTAGTTGAGCAATTTACCTGAGTTTTTTCTTTTGCAGTGAGGCTGGTGGGTATTTCTCTAAAACAATAATATAATGTGGAGGTCCATGTAAGCTAACAGATGGTACTTTCCTACGCTTTGCTTTTGTTCTGCTTAGTTATATTTCTTACACTGTATCTCTCTGTATCTTCATTTTGTGCAATATATGAATATGTTCTCTTCTCAGCTTTTGCGCTGTATTTGTTTGTGCAAGCTTGGGAAGGGGGTGGTTGGGGGTTGCCACCAGAAAGTTCTCGTAGACATGTCTTCTGAAGCAATGATGATTTTTTCTCTTTTCCTTTTTCTGTTATAATTACTTGTCTTTTTCTTCTAGTAGGAGAAGATAAGGTGCAATCTTCGGTATCATTCGGCTATAGAGATGGAAAGATAGGAAGAACTTCAGCTATTTTTTTCAAATACAGGCCTGGGGAGTAATTGCCTGAATATTTGATAGCATTTTATATAAGAGGGTGGTGGATAAATTATTTGGATAATGGGATCTCAAGGGGGTGTTGGTACTAACAGCATTGGTGGAAGCCAAATCCAAGATCCAAAATCTGGCTCACTTGTAAGGCAAGGATCTTTGTACAGCCTCACTCTTGATGAGGTTCAAAATCATTTAGGGGATTTGGGTAAACCATTGAGCAGCATGAATCTTGATGAGCTTTTGAAGACTGTTTTTAATGTTGAGGCTCATCAAGGAACTGGTGGTGGTGATTTTGGAGCAAATCAGCATGGGCAGCTTCCCTCTGCTTTAGATAGACAATCAAGTCTTACGCTGTCAAGGGATCTGAGTAAGAAGACTGTTGATGAGGTCTGGCAAGATATTCAACAAGGACAAAAAAGAGCAAATCATGAGAGGAAAGTACAGGAGAGACAAGTGACTCTTGGTGAAATAACGCTAGAAGACTTCTTGGTCAAGGCAGGAGTGGTTGCTGAACCTGCGCCAAAGAAGAATTCTGGTTCAAGTGTAGTCGTGGATGCAGTGGCACTTCCACAGCAGAGTGTTCCACCTCAGGCCCAGTGGATGAACTATCAGATTACCCCAATTCATCAGTCACCACAACAATTGCAGCTTCAACAGCAGCAGCAACAAAGCGTCGTGCCTGTTTTTGTGCCTGGTCGTCCAGTTCAACAACCAATTAGCTTGGGTTCAAATACAATGATGGATGCTAGTTTTCCTGAAACTCAAATAACCATGTCCCCGTCCACTTTGATGGGAACGTTATCGGATACACAAACACCAGGAAGAAAGAGGGTTGGTTCTGGTGATGTGATGGAAAAGACGGTTGAAAGGAGACAGAAGAGGATGATAAAAAACCGGGAATCTGCAGCTCGTTCACGAGCAAGGAAACAGGTCAGAAGTTGGAGGCCCTGTCAGTATTTTTATTGATTCATTTTTATGTTTATTTCCATCAGAATCCTTTAGACGTTTTCCTATTGACGAACAGGCTTACACACATGAGCTGGAGAACAAGGTCACTCGACTAGAAGAAGAGAATGAACGGCTCAAGAGACAGAGGGTATGCTCATAATATCTTTCAACAGCTTCAACATGATTTGGAAACATTTTGTTGCCATGCTATCGTCTTAGTCTGTTCGTTTTTATCTACGTTTCTCGCAAAATATTTATTCTTATAATAAATGGAAAGATGGATGAAGTTTGTGGAAAACTATGTAACTATGTATTTACTTTGATGAGAGAAACACTGACGATTTCTATGCAAAATATTTGGCAATGTCATTCAATGTTGTTCAGATTGTATGAGAAAGTCCATAATGTATCAAGCCTTGTCACTGTTCTGCCTCATGTCTGTAATACTTTGTCAAAGTTGGCGTAAAATTCCTAGAAAGTTTAACCTCTTCAGATGCTTCATATAGAACATGGCAAAGTCATTTTTGACGAATTCAACCCTGAATCAAATATTTCCCAGAATTTATGTCTTCCGGATTGTTAGCGGTCTTGTTGGAGGTAAATGATGATGATTTAAGTTTGCTGCTGGTTATAAGCCCACCAAGGCTGCCCCTCCTAAGAAATACAGGGAAAAGAAGAAAAAACTTAATTCTCTTGAGTGGTAGCCACTCCTTAATGCCTTCTGTTTGAAGCAGTTGGTTCCTAGTTGATTTCTCGAATTGTTGAAATGGTGGGACCTTGATGACAACACAGATTAATCGGATGTATTAATGTCTGTTTAAATAATTATAGTTCTCTGTTAAATGCTTATACCATTGGTTACTTATCATGAGACTTGCTTTCTTTATCTCTATATCCTCAAAAGATTGTCTTTTTATTTCCTTATCGTTAAGTTTTAAATTTTGTCGTTAGTTTCAATGCACATATATTACATGGAAGAGATTACTCTGCGCGCGTGTGTGTGTCTCGGTATGTGTGTGTCTCTGTGTGTGTGCATCTCTTGCTTTTCCTGTTTCCAGTTTAACAATGCTTGTTTTGTGCCAGCTTCCATGCTACGGTGTTCTATAGTCCCGGTTGTTTTTAATACTTTGCTTTCAGAGTCAAGCTGTTCAGGATTTAGCTATTTGATATTGTTTGAAGACATGTAGATTGAATGATCCATTCTGCTCTGGGGCTTGTGCTCTCCAGAGGAGTAATTGAGACATTATTCGGGGCTACTTTTCATTTAAATTCAATGCCTTTAATGTTGCTGCAATGAGATTTTACAAGGTTTTTCGTCTGGAAATGCACAATCTCAAAATCACGATCACATGTAGTTTGACACATAATGTTGAAACCATATAGTTAATTTATTGATTACAATCATATAATCTTATGCAGTTTGATTTCATATTGATCACATAGATAACTTATTAACTTAATTAGGATTATTACAAGTTGATTTTGGGTAGAAGACTATAGTTCTGTCTTTTGAGAAGCAGGACTCCACAGTGATTTTGTTTCTGGACAAGATTGTTTCATTTTGTTTTTACTGTAGTATTTTATGCTAGGGAATCAACCATTGGATAAAGTTGAGGAAAATGTTATTCTTTCATTCACGCGTAAACATTCTGCTGAAGCTACTCTTATTTAATTAGAAGCTCGTAACCCTTGATTTAATGCCAGTTTTACATCATGTCTAACATTTTGTTCTGGTACAGTTCATTGTGACGATGAAATGTTAATAATTCCTTCGGTCCTACTTATTTAAGGCACCATTTTAAGCTAAGTTTATTTAAAATTATGCTTTATAAGTAAGAGTGGAGGGGAGTAATATTTAATAATATATATTTCATCTCATTTTTGCCTTATTTATTCAATTATAAATCTTGACATACTTAGAGAGTCTGGATTGTGCCGTATTTTGGTATCAGATCATGACATGGAATATGCATAAGATAACCATTTTTGGTGGTAGGAAAATTACATGCCCCTCCATTTGAGATAATGAAGAGCAATGTGCTGCATCTGGATATCCACGCTGCCTTAGCCTGAGAATTACCTAGATTGGAGTTTATTGCTGGACATCTTAACTTTTGCATTTGGAATTTTAATGACTCTATTGATTGAAGTGAATTCTGTCCGTTGCCTTCAATTCTCTAATCTTGGAGGATTTATGGAGAAAAGTGAGACTAGTTACAGCCTCTCCAAATATGCAATAGTCATCTCCTTAGGGAATTAATTTCTCATTGCAAATGCCTCTGAAAAACAAGTGTCCTCAGAAAGTAGTTGCCTGTTCAGAATTTTATATGTTATTTTCTAACATATCACCTGTTACTGAAAATAAAGAAGGCAAAAGAAAATTCCTTTCGGCACATGAATGGGTGCCACTGCTCTTTTTGTCACTGTTACAGCAGCAGCAACCTCACTTTAAGACCTCATAATTTTACAAAGTTGTCTCCTCCTCCACACCCCCCCTCCTTTTTCTCTCTGTTACTGATGTTCTGATTTACTGATCTTTTAGGAGATGGAGAAAGCACTACCAACTGCACCACCTCCGGAACCCAAGTATCAGCTGCGCAGAACAAGTTCTGGCCCTATTTGAGTTTTGTTCCTTACTCAAAAAGTGAAGTCGGATGTGATTTATTGGTAACGGCATTTCCAGTTCATGGAATTGTCATGATATCCAGATTGTGGAGGTGATATCATCTTTGCATCGGCAATAACCTGCAATTGGTGATTTGTCCCTATTGACTTCATGAGTTTCTTTTTGTTTTCTTTTTGTTTTTACATTATATATGTAGTCTGGAGGAACGTTTTGTGATTTTTTTTCTTTTTATTTTGACAATGGCTGGAGAAAATGTGATACATGGTTTTGACCATTTAAAATGTTAATAGTTTTATGCTACCATCCGAACTACTTTTGGGCTCATCTTTTGCTGGGAGGAGAGAAGCTTGAAAATAGCCACAGTGGGAGCACAATCCATCCTAACTAGATATTTCTTCCCAACAAAGTTGTGGGAGCACAATCCCTAACTAGTGGGTTTATCCCCCGCGGTTTTACTTCGCACTAGGTGTCGGCCTTTAAGAGCAACAGAAAGAGTTTTCTAGTTATTACTTTGCAAATTCTGGATAACCTTAGGGTTGGGGCCCTAAGGTTAAACAAGGAAGCTAGAAATAAACTTTCAGCATGATTTTTTCTATCAATTGCTCATGCCTGAGTTACCCTCCATTGATATCCCAATCCAAAGAAGTCATAGCCTCACCTCACTTTCATTATATCAGTCAGTCATCTCATCTTTTCTCAAAGAATTATAAGAACCCAAGAGCGAATTGCCACATCTTTCAAATAATGGTCACGAAATGCACTTAGATAATGAAAGGCTTGGTTTAGGGATAATGAAGAAGATGAAAGGAAGTGATTGTGACAAACACAGACATGATTCATTGATTCCAAGGGCTTGACATATAATTGAGAATAATACAATTAGATCAGAAATAGTCTTCTTTTCAAAAGTAAAATAGTTCAACAGAGAGGATTATTGGGTATTATTATGGGATAGGAAGTGAGCATTTCAATTTTCAATGCCCATGATCAATTTAAGAAAGCTGCATCTGCATTTTGGTCGCTGCAGTAGAGGCATGGATGTTGCTTAAACTGATGCATCATCAAAACCTTCCGAGCCATGGAAACCAACTCTCTGTTAGTCAACGGTTCATAATTTTCCTTCAGAACTTGTTGAACTGCATTACTAAATGCTCCATAGGCCTTCCCATTCTGCAACACGACGTCTGCTGATGTTTCATCTGTTTGACATCCGCTGAGAAGAATTCCTTCATCTTGATTTGGCTTGAACATGTCTAACTCGATCTGAGGAAGCCGATACCTAAGGCTCGCTTCGGCTCCAAAGATCTCCAACAAGTGAGTTCCCACATCTGTGCTGTTTATGTTTGTCAAAGAGGAGAGGTGTTGCAAAACAGATTCTAAAGTTATGCCCTTGTTCTTGCTGCTGGTGATGGAAGAACTATGCTCCGCGCCATGATTTATTGAAGATTCAACAAGCTGTTGCTTTTCTTTGTCAATGAGTCCTCCACTGTGGCAAGAGTCAGAAAGAATGGTGAAAGTTGCTCCTTTTGGAACCATGTTGACGAGATGTCTAAAATCCACATCTGCCCAAGAACCATGCCAAAAGGTACAAGTTATTAATGTTTGCCATCCTTAATTAGGAGGTCCCTCAAAGTGTTAGTTTATGTCAGGATACAATCTTCCGATACGAATCTAACCCAAAAATTAAAGGACATTCTTATAGCACTACTAAACACAGTCATGACATGGACATTATATAGTTTGTAACACGAACTCGACACGAAAACTAGAGGATCATTCTGACAGGTGTAAAGCAACACTTACTGGTTATGAGATTGAAGTCGGTAGGGACGATCGCCTCCTCTTTCGAGAAAGGTAAGAAGGATTTATCTACAAGTGTTCCATGGCCGCTGTAATGAAAGAACAAGACATCACCAGGCTGAGCCTGATCAACCATTCTGTTAAGAGACTTGATGATGTTGGCACCAGTAGGCATCACCAAACTTCCAGGTTTATCAGTTAAAAGCTCAATATCCTCAGGATGGAATTTGAATCTCTGAATCAGCAAATCCCTCATTTCCAAAACATCATTGTGGCATCCATGCAACTCGTTTTTTGTGTTTGGGTAGTTGCACCCTACCAAAACACCCAATTTCCTTCCTTTCTCCATCTCTCTCTCTCTCTCTCTCTCTCTCTCTCTGCAATTTAGTTTATGTCTTAATTTGATTTTTTTTTTCGCAACACTTGAAGAGTTTCTAATGTTTTGAATCACTGGATTGGATATGCACCTCTCTATATATAAATATTTACTCGCTTCAAACCTGAAAAAATACGTAATTCACTTTGTTCATATAAAACAGTAACAAAATTGATTATTTTCTAGGATGGAGGAATTGTTTAGAATATCAGATATCATTTTCAATTGGCTGAGAAACTAACCAAACTTGCGTCATTGGTTGGTCTTTCTTGCGGGACGACGATCGTTTGGCTTTCAAGAAATCGTATGTATTCACTAATTGTTTAAGCAAAGTTTTTGGTTTGTAAACTTGCATTTAAAGGTGGCTTTATGTCTAGTGACTCGTGCATATTTTAATCTATTCTTTCCCTCCAAAATGATTATCGCCATTTTTTTTTTTTGTTCATTAAGTATGATAAATTAATAATACTTGAAAAATGACATGGAAAATCTCATACAGGGACTGATTTGTTTCCACAATCTTCTCCAATTTGTTTTATCAACAGGGTAAATTTTGGGTTTTTTTGAAAAAATTGCTGCTTAGGAACTAGTTGACGACGTGTTTCTGCAGAAATCATGCTCATTTCCTCTTCTTTTTTTTCTTTTTTTTCTTCCTTTTGAAATCAGAGTTTTAGAATATATAGCGTAATAAACTTGTGCAATTGAAACTTGGAAGGAAAGGAAATCGAAAAATATTGAATTCTTAAACCTGGAAGATAGCAAAACTTGCAAGTCACGTGCACACAACCTGCAGATGTTGGGCTTAAAGATTGTTTTCGTTCGCTTTGATTATTTTCACTTTTCACTTTTAATATAATCTGTTATTAAAAATAAAAAATCCAACTGACTAACTATTTTGAAACCAGAATAATACTTTTTTATTATTATTGCTCATGGATAAATTAAGATGAAGTATTTTTTTCGTCTTACATGTATTAATGATTGACTCTGTTAAACCTTAATCATAAATATTAAAATAGGATGATTTCTGCATATGTGTCATGAAATTGTTAGCCAATTAGAAAAATTAGTAAATAAGGCTCAATTAGATGCTTTAATTTGATGTGATTTTTTAATTTAACCTATTTACAAGTTAAAAATTTCAAATTTATTGGACTAATCGAAATTGATGAATCTTACTTCCTCCGTCCCTAAATTATTATCAAGTTTGGCTTGCAGGTTTAGTACAAATAGAATTAATAATGAAAATTCAAACTGGACAATAATATTAAAATACAGAGAGTATTAATTACAATTAGTTAAAAAAGAACGGAAATCTAAACAACTTAAAAAAACTAATCTTATCCATAATGTTATTTAAATTCGTAATTTGAACTGATCATCTTACATGGTTTTATTATTTTAAAAATAATAGATAGTTTGTGAAGATCATGTGTTGAGAGTTTAAGTACAAAACAAATTACTGATAAATCGAACTACAAACTATCTATTATTTTAAAGATAATAGATAGTTTGTAAATCATGCTCTTTTTGTTTTTCACCGGTGTTTTTTCTTATAGGTCAAGTTCTAACTCAGTGTATCCTCCGGAAAAGTGGTATTTATATAGTTTCTTTTTGATTAATCAAATGCTACTACTATGTGTTGGCCTTAGAATCATCAATACGTTTTCGTTTTGGTAGGATTTTTTTCGTTTTTGTAGGATTTTTTTATTTCTTTAGTATTTTACTAATGATTTTTTGTGTTTGGATGAAAAAAAATAATAATAATGAAAAGCAAGTTTATTCTCTTTTTCTTTCCCTCTCTTTGCTTAGCCGGAAAAATCTATTGAACCTTAAACAGAAACATTAAAATTTCGGAACCTTAAACAAAAACATTAAAATTCTGTTACCGATCATCAAACATTTGGTTATGGTGTTCATTTTGATTTGTTTTTTTTTTAAAAAAAAATATGTATGATATTAAATATTAAATTATTCATATATATATATATATATATGTGTGTGTGTGTGTGTGTTTTACTTACCCATTTTACAACACTCGTGCAACGTGGATGACATTTACTAGTATATAACATTTCGTTATATTAACTTAGCATGGACGTATTCACTTTTGAATTGGGTTTAACGTATTATTCACTTTTGATTTTTTGTCAAACTTTAATATTGTATGCATACATATTTTATCATATTTAAACTTATAAATTTAAAAATAATTCATTCATGAGCAAAACCGGTCGACCAAAATCAATTAGTTGTATAATTATTACTTTATTATTCCACTCCCCAAAATAAGTAGTACTTTATTGGGGCTGATTTTGAAGGGTGTTCGAATTTGCTCACTCAACACTGTTGAAGAATTCGCCATGGCAACACGGAAAGGTCTGATTATTCTTGTCATTTCTTCGTGTAGTTTCACCAAAAGGGAAGAATGATATGAAATTCCTTCTGTGCACATTATGGTCACTGTATCATTATACCTATCCACCTAGTCTCCATTAATCAGTGTTCTATCAAGCTTGGAATATATTCTTTCAGTACCAATCTGCATATCACACCAAGTAAAGAACCTCTCTTGTTCCCTGATGTCTGACACTCTTCATGCATTATTACAATCTTGAAAAGCTGCCATCTTTAAAGCATTTGTTGGTCTTCCTCCCAATTTCTCCTTAGACTTAAAGATATTATTGAAGTCACCCATTAGAATCCAATGATCACTTATATTTTGAGAAATATTTTTCAAATCATTCCATAAATCCCATCTTTCCTCCACCTTGTTACTAGCATATATACCAGTTAACAAAAAGTGTTCATTTTTTTGTTTCAGTTTCACAGAACAATGCAGAAACTGTTGTGATTTTGTCTTAACTTGAACCTCCACACTATCATCCCAGAGTATCAAAATTCTCCATTTCGCATTCCCCTCTGAGTTACTAACCCATTTTCTATCAACCAAGTACTTCTTATATACTCCTTTGGTGTCAGTTTTGTCTCCACAATACAAGCTAAATTAACTTTATAAAGTTATATACTCCCCTGTTCTTTTTGTTTAGCAGGGGAGTTCAAGCCCTAAATATTCCAAGAATAAATGCTACTTATTTGGATCAGGATTAGGATTTAACATAATACTCCCTTCTGCAAGCTCTCCTATACTTGGGTCAACTATCTCATCTGACACATTAGTGGTTTTGTTAGGTTTATTCCCTATGGATTGTCCAGCAGCTACTTCCTTAATATCTAAGATGCTATAGTTATTCCTAGTTAGGAGTGTCACCGCATTTACAGACTTTTCAACTTGAATTAAGTTGTTAACCTCTACTGTGGAACCTTTTTTGATCAGCTCAGAAACATGAGTTGTATTAGCAGGTCCCTCCTTAGTATCTTGGCTACCACTTAACTCCTTGCCTACTTTAGTACTCTCTCTATTTCTCCTACCAACTCTCCTCCATTCATGTACAGTTTGTTTAGGCTTAGCTTCTTCAACTTTTGGTTGATTCCTACGGCATTTCTCTATGTTATGACCATAACCACTACAACATCCACATTTCGTAGGTGTCCACTCCTATGTAATCTTCTGTACTCTGACTATGCCTTGCTCATCTTCAAAAATAATTTTATCTAGCACACTATCATATATTTCAATTTCAACTAAAATCCTAACAAATTGGACTCCGATTGTTTACAGTACATTCATAAGCCATTATAGAACAACCAATTGTGTTAGTAACTTTACTCGGTGGAGCTAAATTCCAATATTTAACTTCTAACCCATGCAACTGTATCCACACATTCACCTTTTCAATATCTTTATAATTCAAGACTTTCTCTATATCCCAAGGTTTAACTATTAACGGCTTAGCTCCGAAATGATAGATATTGACACTCAACACCTCAACTCTAGCAGACACTGAATTAAATTGTACAACAAATAAACCAGTGGGAAGCAACAATACCTTATCGATGCCAAGATGATCCTATATCTTCTTGAAGTATTCCTCCATAACCCACAGAGGTGGCCGGATTTGCTCTCAGGATAAATCAAACTATTGAAGATTCCCAGTATTCACCTTCAACCTGAACATCCTTCTCTTGTATTTGCGCCATTTTTTGCCCATCCACTTCCTTCAGAGCGAAAAATGGCACTTTTCCACCTGGTTTCCTCATCTTTGAAACATCAAATGTCTGCCAAGGGTTAGACTCTTTTTCTTGTTCCATCTTATCTTACCACGTAAGTTTCCCTCGAGTGTCAATTCTGTGTGTTGAAGACATAAGCGCATCCTTCATCTTCCCCGATTCACATCCTCCACTCAGTTGCTCAATTTTCCCAATTTCACCCCTTCCTATAGCCGGACTAGGGCTTGCCAACTTTTCATGTTCATTGCTCACTTCTTTTTTTTGGGATGATCTATGTTCAATCTCCGCTACATTCTGATCGATTTCATCACTTTTGGCTGTTGTCTTCTTCCTCTCAGCCTTCTTTTGAGTCATGGCGGGCGTATGTTAGTTTTCTGCTAACATGCGCCGAGAGAGAAAACGGGAGGAGAGAGAAAACGGGTCATTAAAAAATATTATTCTTGTTCCGAAATAGTTTCAGTTTCTAATATAATATAGTTTGAATTTTTTTTTGTTTCTGAAACTATTTTAGAACATGAGTATTATATTAGAAACAAAAAGAATTAAACTAAAATCATTTCAAAACAGGAGTAATATTGTTTTATTACTACTTGTGGATAAATTAAGATTAGGTGTTAATTGTTGATTTTGTTAAACTTTAATGATAATATTTTCTCATGTCTTTATTATTCTCCCTGGTCCTATATTTTTTATTTGTCCTAAATTTTACCTAATATATTTTTTCGATTGAAAAAAAAAACCCCCTTAAAAATACATTTTCACATTTATTATGTTCTCCTAATTATCAAGAAATATTTTTAAGGTTTTTCTCAATGGAAAAAATATAGTGCAACTTAGGACGAATCAAAATACCTTAAGTTTCACATAATATATTTTTCTAATGGATTAAAAAATCTTTAAAATATTTTCTAATAAATAGGAGAACACAATGAATATAAAAATATATTTTTAAAGGTTTTTTTTTCCATCGAAAAAATATAATAAGTGAAAGTTATAACAAATAAGAGTGGGTATAGTTTGCCATATCTAACTTAACAATGGACGTATTCACTTTTGAATTGAGTTTAACTTAACATGGAGTTTATTCCCTTTTGATTTTGTTAAACTTTAATATTGTATGTATACACATTTTGTCATATTTAAACTTATAAATTTAAAAATAATTCATTGGGCAAACCGGTCGACCAAAATTCAATTAGTAGTATAATTATTAATTTATTATCAAACTCCCTGAAATAAGTACTAGTACTTTTTCATTGGGGCTGATTTTGAAGGGCATTACTATTTACAGTTATAAGAATTGCTCATTTACAGTCGTTTGGACTTTTTTGCCCCTGATTACTACAAAGGGTACTAAAACAATCAAATTCAAATCATTTCTTTCTCTTCTTCTTCAACTCTCAAAGAAAAGAAACCAAAAAAATCATAATGTCAAACTCAGATCTATATTTTGGAGCTTAAAAAAATGGTGGAACAAGAGAATCAAGCACCGGAAGGCTCAGCCTCAAATTTAGTATGTTTTTTCTGCTCAAAATGCATATGCCAAAGCACAACTCATCCAACAAAAGTAGGACAAACCCCACCAAGGAACTCATGAACACACACATCATGAATTCAAAAACCATAACCAAAAGAAAGGCTCAACTCTCGAACTACTAGAAATAGTATGAAAATAAGAAGTTTAGTTTTAAAACAATTCTATCAAGAATCATACTTGAAAAAGAACGGTTTTTGCAAGATCAAAAGATCCAAGACAAGATGAAAACCCTCTTGGTTAAATCATACTTGACACGAAAAATGGACACACCATTTAACAAAAATTCCTCACAGGAAAAACTCTCATTACAGAAGACTCAAAATGACCACACATGTGTGCTTTAACTTTCGGCCATCCCCCCTATTTATAGGCTAACAATTTCGGCGAAAGCACCAAAAAGAAGACCAACTAGGACTCTCTAATCTTATCTCACGCAAGAGTAGAAGTAGAAGAGTATTTGATCTCTTTGACTCTATCTAAAATCTAGAAAACCTTATCTAAATGACTTATCCTCAAATAGGATAATACTTAGAAAGAATCTAAGACTTCTAACCAAAACACTCTAGTTTAATTCAGTCCACATGACTTATTTAACTAAATAACTTCGAAAATTAAACTCCTAGACTAGATAATACTCTAAATCTCGAAAATCAGTTCCAAATATTAAAGTAAAATGTCTTGAACGCCCTTCTAGAAGTAGAATATTGGTCTTGCGCCCCTCCAGTTGTAGATAACTCCAATTTAGTCCAAAACTTGTAGAATTCTCTTTATTGACTCCAAAGGAATGGAAAAACACTTGAAACAATTGAGATAGTTTGCAACATATCCAATTGTGTAGCAATGGACTTACTCTTGAACACTTGATCAAATAGGCCGTCCATTCAAGAACCTAAATGACTCTTTTTTCTAGCTTGATTAATGATCTTCATGGAGCACCTAGAGTCAAACTCCCTTGAAACTCTTGAGCACTTATTTCCATGAGTGAATCATCTCCTTTGGTTTGAACCCCAAAGTTAATGACATTCTCATCATCTTGATCATAGCTCTCTTGAACCAACTCCCTATCACATAGGTAGTCAAGATCCATCATTTCTTCCTTGATTGGCCTGCAAAGTAAACTTGGCATTCCAAAACTAGAATGAAGGACTAGCTCATTCCCCTCACTAGGAGAATCACCATGGAAGGCTATATGATTCTCATCATCTCTTCCTTCTTTAAGACGATTCATCCTCGAATCATCAACCTTTAAACCTGCACAAGGAACAAACGAGATATAAGGGTTAGTAAAATCCTCACACTCACCACACTCTGATTTTCTCTCATTGCGTGCATCTTTTTCTGTTTCCACGCTATTTTCATGGTTTTCTCTCACCTCAAGTCTTACCTGAGTGCGACCCTTTTTACTTTCTTGCGTCACTCTCTCGACTTTTTCTCTCTCTTGTGTATAGGTTATCTTACGTCTTTTCTCTCGCACAGACTCAGCTTCTTCATAAGCCAAAGGCTTAAGAATATATTTTCTGTCCTCTTTAGTAAAGACAAAGATATTCTTCGAGCAATGATGCACAGCATCTACATCTGATTGCCAAGGCCTACCTAGCAAAATTTCACAAAGAGACATAGAAATTACATCAAAGTAAATTTCATCCCTATACTCACCAACTTGGAAAGATACCATGGCCCTCTTAGTGACATCCATAACCATCTTTTCACTCAACCATTGAAGCTTGTATGGTCTAGTATGCGGATCCATCTTGATTTCGTTTGCTATGCAAGATTCCTCACTTATACAATCAGTACTCGGTCCATCATCGATTACCAAATTAACTTCATTGGACCACCCAACCGAACACTTAGTACAGAAGATACATGTTCGTTGATCACCATCTTCAGTGCAAAACACCAACCCTTGATCCTAAATTGGACCATTCCAACCCAAGAAGTATCATGCTCTCTCTCCACTTCTAAGGCAGAATAGTATGCCTCAGAGAGCCTTGATTGCCTCCTTATCTTTGGGTCTAGCTTGTACAACAATACCCTTTATTGCTGTTTGACAACAACTAGCAATTTCAGAACTCATTGTTAATTCAACAAAGTTGAAAAACCACCAAAAAGAAGTAATTGTGCTTTTGTTACTACACAAAAACTCCTTGAACCCTTGAAACAATGAATGGCTCGGCCGAAACCCCCCAAGAACCAAAGGAAGGTTCGAGTATTGCTCTCCCCAAAAACAAAAACTCTCTTGTGCTTTTAAGAACACCAACTCTCAAAAATTCAGAATAAAGAGAAGAGTGCTTCTCTTGTTTATACCCTTGTGATATCGGTAGCAAGAAGAAGAAGAAGAATGGAGTAGAGTGGTGTGAGAATTTTCGAAAAACAGCACCCCTATTGATAGGCAATGCAAGTCTTTTTGTGCAAGAAAACTTCTACAAGATAGGACCTAAATTTTCTCAAAAATATTTCCCCCTTAATTGATAAAATTTCAGTCGACAAGATGAAATAAAAAGGAAGAAATTCAGCTAACATATATATATATATATAAAAGAATAGAGTCCTAAATCTTAGGTAATCATAATCCTTTTTAGACACAACTTCTGAACTATGTCATAAAACAATGAAAGATTCATCCCTACCAATTAGAGACAAAAATCCGACCCCCTACTACAAAAAGGACTCAAAAACTCGGCCAAAACACAAGCACAGTTGTATTAAAAGACTCAAAAATTTTCAGATTAAGATAAGACTTCCTTATCTCAATAGTTTTCGTAAATAGACTCACTTTAAAACTCTAATTATAATCTCACTGAAATTATAATTTAACTCATGCAAAATCTAGTATTTAAATCCAAGTAGGACTCAAATAAAACACACAATAAAATTGTATTACCATTAGGAAACAAAGGCTGAAAATTTCGGTCAGTGTGAACACTAAAATCCAAGACCGAATAGGTCTCAAATCATAACACAATTTGGACTCAATGACCTTAATTTTAGGGATAAAATTTTCGGCCATGTGAACACACAAATACAAGACCAAATAGGTCTCAAAATGTAACACAAATAGACAACCAAAATTCAAGTTCAACTAGTACTAGGAATCCCTAATTTTTAGCTCAAAAATTCGACTATACTATGACTCTAAAATTCAAAACCAACTAGGTTTAGAACTCCACATAAAACACACGCACACACATGCATTAATTCAGCAAAAATTCGGCATTTAACTTTTACCACATAGTTAAAATTTAAAAAATTACTTTTGACTCACTTTAAAAAGGAAACTTGGAAATTACCACTTTCCAAAATGTCCAACAACTTTTAGAATACTTTCTAAAAACCACTTTCCAAATTGTATATGGAATTAACAAAAATTCACTTTTTACCAAAACAATCTATGGCAAATAAAATAATAAGAACACCATAAGTATAATGAAGTTGGAATTTTAAAGTTCCTCATTCAACTATGACGTTTGCTTCATAATACTTAATTTGACACAAACCATTCATAAGACTCAATGACTCAACAAGGTCATCTTCATAAGTGACCATTTGAAAATCAAATTTTCCAAAGACCAAATATGTAAACTTCAAGAACATATCTCAAAGTCTATAAGATTTCTTTTCATATATAAGAAAATCTTTAGTAAAACTTCATTCAATTCTCGATTCAACTCTCAAAAATTAAGGTTTTAAACACAAGTCAAAGACTTCAACCCTTAAAGTTGGCACAATTCAACTTCAAAGACCTTTAAACATTGGATACCAAAATTGATATCATTAAAATTCATTCCTCATCAAATGATAAAGAAAGTTTTGAAAC